TCACGGTGTGCAATAATAGTGTTTAACATGATTTTTGAATGGCTACCTCATTTCTGTACCCCACACATACAATTACAATGCCTTGCAAAGGTATTCATCCCCCTTGGCGTTTTTCCTATTTTGTTGCATTACAACCTGTAATTTAAATGGATTTTTATTTGGATTTCATGTAATGGACATACACAAAATCATCCAAATTGGTGAAGTGAAATGAAAAAAATAACTTGTTTCAGAAAATTCTAAAAAATTAATAACGGAAAAGTGGTGCGTGCATATGTATTCACGCCCTTTGCTATGAAGCCCCTAAATAAGATCTGGTGCAAACAAATACCTTCAGAAGTCACATAATTAGTTAAATAAAGTCCAGCTGTGTGCAATCTAAGTGTCACATGATCTGTCACATGATCTCAGTATATATACACCTGTTCTGAAAGGCCCCAGAGTCTGCAACAACACTAAGCAAGGGGCACCACCAAGCTAGTGGCACCATGAAGACCAAGGAGCTCTCCAAACAGGTCAGGGACAAAGTTGTGGAGAAGTACGAATCAGGGTTGGGTTATAAAAAAATATCAGAAACTTTGAACATCCCACGGAGCACCATTAAATCCATTATTAAAAAATAGAAAGAATATGGCAGCACAACAAACATGCCAAGAGAGGGCCGCCCACCAAAACTCACGGACCAGGCAAGGAGGGCATTAATCAGAGAGGCAATAAAGAGACCAAAGATAACCCTAAAGGAGCTGCAAAGCTCCACAGCGGAGATTGGAGTATCTGTCCATAGGACCACTTTGCTTAAAGAAGAAAATAAGCAAACATTTTTGGTGTTCGCCAAAAGGCATGTGGGAGACTCCCAAAACATATGGAAGAAGGTACTCTGGTCAAATGAGACTAAAATTGAGATTTTTGGCCATCTAGGAAAACACTATGTCTGTCGTGAACCCAACACCTCTCATCACCCCGAGAACACCATCCCCACAGTAAAGCATGGTGGTGGCAGCATCATGCTGTGGGGATGTTTTTCATCGGCAGGGACTGGGAAACTGGTCAGAATTGAAGGAATGATGGATGGCACTAAATAAAGGGAAATTCCTGAGGGAAACCTGTTTCAGTCTTCCAGAGATTTGAGACTGGGACGGAGGTTCACCTTCCAGCAGGACAATGTCTTGGAATGGCCTAGTCAAAGCCCAGACCTCAATCCAGTTGAGAATCTGTAGTATGACTTAAAGATTGCTGTACACCAGCGGAACCCATCCAACTTGAAGGAGCTGGAGCAGTTTTGCCTTGAAGAATGGGCAAAAATCCCAGTGGCTGGATGTGCCAAGCTTATAGAGACATAACCCAAGAGAGATGCAGTTGTAATTGCTGCAAAAGGTGGCTGTACAAAGTATTGACTTTGGGGGGGTGAATAGTTATGCACGCTCAAGTTTTCAGTTTTTTTGTCTTATTTCTTGTTTGTTTCACAATAAAACATGTTTTGCATCTTCAAAGTGGTAGGCATGTTGTGTAAATCAAATGATACAAACCCCCAAAAAATCCATTTTAATTCCAGGTTGTAAGGCAACAAAATAGGAAAAATGCCAAGGGGGTGAATACTTTCGCAAGCCACTGTATCTGTAAGATCCCTCAGTCGAGCAGTGAATTTCAAACACAGATTCAACCACAAAGACCAGGGAGGTTTTCCAATGCCTCACAAAGAAGGGCACCTCTTGGTAGATGGGTAAAACAATTTTAAAAATGCAGAAATGGAATATCCCTTTGAGTATAGTGAAGTTATCAGTTACACTTTGGATGGTGTATTAATATGCCCAGTCACTATGAAGATACAGGCTTCCTTCCTAACTCAGTTGTCGGAGAGGAAGGAAAGCGCCCAGTGATAAGAGAAAACTGAGGACGGGTCAGCAACATTGTAGTTACTCCATAATACTAACCTAAATGGACAGTGAAAAGAGATCCTGGTTTGAATCCAGGCTCTGCCGTAGCTGGCCGTGACCGGGAGACCCATGGGGCGGTGCACAATTGGCCCAGGGTAGGGGAGGGAATGGCTGGCAGGGATGTAGCTCAGTTGGTAGAGCATGGTGTTTGCAATGCCAGGTTTGTGGGTTTGATTCCCAGTATGAAAAAAAAAAAATAATAATAATAATGTCTGCACTCACTAACTGTAAGTTGCTCTGGATAAGAGTGTCTGCTAAATGACTAAAATGTAAATAGACCTTAGCACAGGTACTTCCTGTGTGAGTTTCTGCCTATAGGAGCTGTGATCTGATTTGCCATAGGGAGGGCCTTGTAGGCATCCCGGAAGGGGGGGTAGCAGTGGTCGAGCGTTTTAGCAGCGCGAGTACTACAGTCAATGTGTTGATAGAACTTCGGTAGCGTTTTCGTCAAATTTGCTTTGTTAAAATCCCCAGCTACAATAAATACGGCCTCAGGATATGTGGTTTCCAGTTTGCACAAAGTCCAGCGTAGTTCCTTGAGGGCCGTCTTGGTATTGGCTTGAGGGGGAATATACACGGCTGTGACTATAACCGAAGAGAATTCTGATTGTGAGGTATTCTAGGTCGGGTGAACTAAAGGACTTGAGTTTCTGTACGTTATCACAATCACACCATGAATAGTTAATCATGAAACATACACCACCGCCTTTCTTCTTCCCGGAGAGTTCTTTATTCCAGTCTGCGTGATGTACTGAGAACCCAGCTGGCTGTATGGACAGGGACAGTATTGCTTTGGGGATACTGTGTGTGTGTGTGTGTGTGTGTGTGTGTGTGTGTGACGCCTGTTTGAACTAGTGTATTAGACCCAGCCCCCACCTCCGCCCACACACACACTTGCATACACACACAACCCACCTGTCTCTACCTATGTATGTAACCACACGGATTTTGATGAAATACCTAATCTGAGTCTGTGTGGTTCCTCCTTCTGAAAAGAAGAATCTGTGGTACAACCTATTCCAGGTCCTAATAAGTCTACTTATAATAATATGGTTATTATGTGCTAAAAGAGTAAGGATTTCCTTGTTACTAAAGCCAATTCTAAAGTATAGTTTCACCAGGTCATCTAACTGCAGGCATTTCAACGGTGGTGCACACAGCAACAGGGAGCCAGGGAGACATGCAGTTAACCAAAGCCCCTACTTTAATATTGAAATATAAGTGCAACTTTTTTATGACTTTATTCTCGAAATTACATTTAGAGTTTTTTCTCTAAATATTGCCACTTTATTCTCAAAATACTGCCACTTCATTTTCTAAATGTAACATTGACTTTATTCTCAAAATATTGCCACTTTATTCTGAAAATATTGCCACTTTGTTATAGTACTATCCTGCAAAAAATAAATACCACCACCATTCGCCATTTTTCTATCTGCAAAAAAATGGATTCAAAAAATAATAATTATGTCCTGAATAGAAAGCATTATGTTTGGGGGCAAATCCAACACAACACATCACTGAGTACAACTCTTCATATTTTCAAGCATGGTGGTGGCTGCATCATGTTATGGGTATGCTTGTCATAAGCAAGGACTAGAGTTTTTTGGGGGATAAATAGAAACGGAATAGAGCTAAGCACAGGCAAAATCCTAGAGGAAAACCTGGTTCAGTCTGCTTTCCAACAGATACTGGGAGACAAATTCCCCTTTCAGCAGGACAATGTCCTAAAACACAAGGCCAAATATATACTTGAAAATCTATGGCAAGACTTGAAAATGGCTGTCTAGCAATGATCAACAACCAACTTGACAGAGCTTGAATAATTTTTTTAAGAATAATGTGCAAATATTGTACAATCCAGGTGTGCAAAGCACTTAGAGACTTTGCCAGAAAGACTCACAGTTGTAATCGCTGGCAAAGGTGATTCTAACATGTATTGACTCAGGGGTTTGAAAAGTTATGTAAATGAGATATTTCTGTATTTCATTTTCAATAAATGTGCAAACATTTCTAAAAGCACGTTTTCACGTTGTCATTATCGGGTATTGTGTGTAGATGGGTGAGACAAACATTTTTGTATTCCATTTTTCATTCAGGCTGTAACACAACAACATTTGGAATAAGGGGTATGAATATTTTCTGAAGACACTGTATAGATTCTGCAGACCCAACTGAGTAATCCCAACCCCACTTTTACCTCTGCACATAGAATAGTTTTTTCTCTACATCCCAATATTTTGAACATACCAGTCGGAAACATAGTATTTTTCCATAGCGGTCTTTAAAAACGTTTTTAGAAGCATATTTGTAATTGTTTTCATAAATTCCTTCTTGCATTTGCTTAAAAGTACAATAAAAATTGACATTGATTAAAATGTAATATCCAGTGGTGCAAAGTACTTGAGTAAAAATACTTTAAAGTACTACTTAAGTAGTTTTTATGGGTATCTGTAGTTTACTTTACTATTTATATTTTTGACAACTTTTACTTTTACACCACTACATTCATAAAGAAAAGTATGTACTTTTTACTCCATACATTTTCCCTGACACCCAAAAGTACTTATTACATTTTGAATGCTTAGCAGGACAGAACGATAGTCCAATTCACGCACTTATCAAGAGAACATCCCTGGTCATCCCTACTGCATCTGATCTGGCGGACTCAGTAAACACAATTGCTTCGTTTGTAAATTATGTCTGAGTGTTGGAGTGTGCCCCTATCCGTACATTTTAAAAACAAGAAAATCGTTATTGTATATTTGAGCAATTCTATTAACTTTTGATACTTAAGTATATTTAATACCAAATACCTTTAGACTTTTACTCAAGTAATATTTTACTGGGTGACTTTCACATGACTTTCACATTTTCTATTAAGGTATCTTTACTTTTACTCAAGTATGACAATTGGGTACTTTTCCCACCATTGGTAATATATTTTGAATGAGTTATCCACACTGCAAATGTTTTAAATATGGACTTTTATTTTTAAGGTTTCCTTATTACCATACTAAACTGACGTCATAATTTGTGCTGCTGGCAAAATACTGGTGTCCGGAAGTGAGTGATTCCTGACTCGGGCTGGTGCTAGATTTCCGAAGTCTGTTGGGGGGGTTCTATGGTAGATATGATTGAATAATGTTATTGTTATAAATCACATGATAGTAAGCTAGCTAGCTAACACGTTTGGAATAGAAAACAATTGAATCAAGGATCACTCATTTGTCAAATGTGGACGTTCTTGTCTCTTTGGCCTAACGTTAGCTAGCTAACGTCGGAGTAGCGGATGATTTATTAGCTAGTCTTCTTCTTGGCTTAGCCCAATATTGGACTAAAGGAGCCAACGTTATTCCGTAGTCTATAGACCTTACATGTTCTCTTTAAAGGGCGAATTGGTTCTGGAAGCCAAAACAGCCAAATACTCAATCTAAACGTGAATCGGTTCTCAGTTGCGGTACTGTATGGTTCTAGAAACATAAATCACTCTTTTATATCACGTCAAAATAATTTCACAAATGCAAAATACACAGTTACTGTATGTACACTGTTTTAACCGGTTTTAACACAGTTGCAGCTGACAGTATTTTTCAGTGACAACACATTTGTGGCTTCAGTTCCATTTACACACAGGTGTTCAGAGATGCAGATAGCTAAATTAGTTATAACAGGTAGTCTCTGTCTTCCCTCATGAACAAGCGCTGTAACATGGAAATATGGCAGTGTGGGAACCCTAACCCTATAAAGGTGTGTAGTAATTTAACCTTTGTTTAAAATAAAAGAAGAAGATTTGTCGCTGATATTAAAGTTACGTTCCTTATGTTTCCAAAACCGTACCGCAAGCGATGCGTTTAAACGTTCAGAACGAGCGGGGCAGGGCAACTAACTGGGGAAGACAACCAATTGTGAGAATTGAGAATCAAATTGGTTTTAGGTTAGGCTATAGCAGGTCCTACCTACTTTATCTATCTAGCTAATCCTTTCGGATCTCAAGTCTTGAAGTTTGGGGTCAATGTGGGATTGAATGGACTGGTTTTCCAAAGCTGACCTGTCCATGCAGCTCATTTGTCTGTTTGTTATCTTGACACTTGACTTGGTGATGTTGTGCCACCATTACAGGAAGAGATGTCAGGAGAGAGCGTGGTGAGCTCAGCAGTGCCGGCGGCTACAACCCGGACCACCTCCTTCAAGTGCTCCGGTCCCAGCTCCAAGTATGTGAAGCTGAACGTGGGCGGGGTGCTCTACTACACCACCATGCAGACCCTCACCAAGCAGGACACCATGCTCAAGGCCATGTTTAGCGGCAGGATGGAGGTCCTCACAGACAGTGAAGGTACTGTATCTGTCAGACGTCAGTGGCACCACAACACATGGTTGGAGGGTTCCAGAATGTCTGAGTGAGGAGTCTTTGTAACGTGCTTCTGTATTTTGCTATCCTGGTCCGAGGTCTGTTTGTGCGGTCTTGACAACTCCTAAATATTCAATGTCGAGTCAAGACGAGCATGACAACGAGCATAGGAGTTGGCTATGGGCAATTCCACGGGAACAGATTGATGCTGAGACTCAGCTTTTTCACTTTAAAATCTATGTCAAACAAAAATCAATGATTGCAGAGTTAAACAAACCATAAAACTCTATGCACAATGACTACTTTTAACAATTTCCACAGACATTTTTACAAAAACACGTTTACTTCAAGAACAGTGATGGTTTGTGCTGTTGGTGCCGTCATTCTGTTACCAAACTTTGCATCTGCACTGTTCTTTAAGTAAATGTGTTTTAGTAACATTTTCTGTGGAAATTGTTCAAAGTCGTCCTTGTGCATAGAGTTGTATGGTTTGTTTAACATAGCAAACATTGTTTTTTGTTTGGCGTACATTTTTAAAGCGAGAACTCTGAGTCTCAGCATCACTCTACTGTGGAATTGCCCCTATACACTTACTACAAATGAAAGTGGCCTCTAATCTGGTGCTTGTCCCTTTCTAGGCTGGATCCTGATTGACCGGTGTGGGAAACACTTTGGGACAATTCTGAACTACCTTAGAGACGGAGCGGTACCACTCCCAGAGAGTCGTCGGGAGACTGAGGAGATGCTGGCTGAGTCCAAGTACTATCTGGTCCAGGGCTTGGCTGATGAGTGTCAGGCTGCCCTTCAGGTATCCTCACGCTCAAAACTGGTCTTTTCTCCTGTCACACCTCCTTTTTACCTCTTTACACCCTTTTCACACTTATGAGCCAAGCTGCACTGCACTGGCTTGGTTATGCATCCACTATAGTTGCTTGAATCGTGCTGGAAAGGACCACGTCAAAAGGAAAATATCAGTCAGTACGGTTTGGGTCGGCACCATGGTGTGAAATAGTCTGTCTCATCCCTCCACCGACACTCTGCCTTTGTCTTTCTCTACCTACTACACATACACCATTACTGGCCCAGCCAACCCACCCAATCTGTTAGAGGACCTATGTCCAAATTCTTGTTGATTCTAGACAAAATCTGTCTTTACCGTCCAAGTATGACTGATGTTTCTTTTCTTGGTGTTCTAGAACAAAGAGTCGTACGAGCCGTTCTGTAAAGTTCCTCTGGTGACATCATCGAAGGAAGAACAGAGACTCATCGCCACCTCTAATAAGGTATTGTTGACTGAGTCACGCATCAGAGTGAAGGACACGCCCAGTATTTACTAGAGAAGATCTAGTCTCACATATTCAATTTTGACTGATATCTTCCTCTGTTGTTTTGTCTCTACACAGCCTACTGTCAAACTATTATACAACAGAAGCAACAACAAATACTCCTACACCAGGTGAGAGAGACTTACATCTATAAAGACACATTGTAAATTATGGTAAATGTCAAGTGAAAAATCTGCTAGATCTCACAACGCCTGGATAGGTGTTTAAAATATCACCTAGCCACATCATATGATATAACAATCTGATGTCCGACAGCATAGTCAATGATGTGACACGCAGCAGGTTGTTGCTGTGCGAAGGCAATTACGTGTCTGCAATGTACTCGGCGTGGAACGCGACCCATTGTCACCAATCAGGCTTCCCCTTCCTTCCCTCCATGCAGTAACTCGGACGACAACATGTTGAAGAACATTGAGCTGTTTGACAAGCTGTCACTACGCTTCAACAACCGCGTGCTCTTCATCAAGGACGTGATCGGCGACGAGATCTGCTGCTGGTCCTTCTATGGCCAGGGCCGCAAGATCGCCGAGGTGTGCTGCACCTCTATCGTCTACGCCACCGAGAAGAAGCAGACCAAGGTAGCGCAAATAAATCATACTCTGGGACAGCTTATAGTGGGATGTCATCATTAAGATATTTTAATCAGCACAGACCCTGCAAGTACATCATGTCTCTGGCTTCTGTCTCTGATGACAGAACTGATTCCTCCTCTTTTCTAGTAAACTACCTCAATTTCTGAGTTTGTTGTCTTTAACCTGTTGTTAGCATCAAATAGAATACTTTAATATGCCATTGGGACATTTTGCTTTTTAACAAAGTACAGGCATACTTGGCGTTCAGACATAATACCCAGGCAGACGGACATACATAAATATCCGCTCCCCTAACCCCCAGGTGGAGTTCCCTGAGGCGCGGATCTACGAGGAGACCCTCAACATCCTGCTGTATGAGTCCCAGGACGGGAGGGGTCCCGACAACGCTCTGCTGGAGGCCACGGGGGGCGCCGCCGGCCGCTCGCACCACCTGGACGAGGACGAGGAGCGCATCGACAGGGTGCGCAGGATCCACGTCAAGCGGCCCGACGACCGCACACACCACCACCACCAGTAACCCCTGACGGACCTCGTCCCTCGACCATCCAAAGCCCAGCCCTGGACGTCTGACCCTGGACTCTCAGTGGACCACGTCTGTGCCTTGCTTCCAACACCCAGCACTTCTCTCTCTCCCCCTCTTCTTCCCCACTCCTACTCTCACCCGTCCCCCACAGCGGGAGCTCACTGCTGAGGATGAGAGACGAGTTGAAGCTTAGTGTGGTGAAGTGGATTCATGTGTGTTTATGTGTAGGCCATCTTGTTGTGTGTAGTGCTCTGAGGATTTCTATCTGTCGGTTGGTGGTTGCCAATGTTTTTCCACTATGCATGAATGTGAATAGGATTATGAATGGGATGTATGTGGAATGGAAATGTCAGTGGTTATACTGGAGGGAATTGCAATGTCAGCATCGTGCTCTTTGGTCTTTGCTATAATGCAACCAGAAGAACAAGAATCATGCAACGTTTGTCGCTGAGTTTCTGGATGTTTTGAATATTCTGTCAACGAAAAGTATTGTAAGTGTCTGAAGAAGCTGTATGATGGAAGTCAATCAGGCGTTCTACAAGAAAAGTCCACTAGGGGGAAGTATTGACTCAAACAGACGATCTCTCATTGTGTCAGACGGCTTCACTGCTCGCAGCCTTTCGTGTTCTATCAATTTCCAATGAAATCGTTGCATTTTCTATTCACCCTATTCTTGAATATCAGTCAATATTTGGTCAAATCAAAATATGATATCATACAATGGAGTACCTCCACTCTCCCACAACCTCTTTAATTAATAGGATTTCCCATTTAACCCAATGTCCCTTCATGTAAGTGGTTGTTTAAAAGGGAAGAACGTGAGCTGTGAAGTGTTACCTGGGTTGATTGAATGATTGAGCTCTAAGGCTGAAATGAATGGTTGAAACTAAAGCTCTACCCCCAAGGAGGAGGAGCTGTCTCTCCTACAAGCTTCTAACAGGCAGATCATTTAGACCTGCCCCTCATCAGGGTATTCATTAAGGAATGTAACCGTATGTCCACACATGTTCTTTTAGCAAACGCAGTACTTGTAAAGACATCTGTCTGTACAGATGTACCACATTTAAATGTTTTACATATATTTTATAGATACCTTATCAAAAATAAATAGATTTCTACAATACTTTTGTGATTTGTTTCATTTGAATGTCGGTTGAAGTACAAAATTATGGTACATATGACTTTGTTGCAAAATCAATGATTCCTATCCTGACGGTTTGCTATAGTACAAAAATATATAATTTACTATTTTAGAGAGAAGTACACTTTGCTCTCATTCAACAACACTGTAATGTATATAGTATTTACATCTGAAATACTAAACCAGCAGACACATAAGGCTCCCTTAGCCTTGAATTCACAAACAGAAATTAGTTGAGAATATACAAGTGCGTGGTAGATCATAGACATGACACAGGTTTGTGCTTTTTGGGGTCCCTTAAAGAGATTATCCGGTACTTTTGTATACTTATTAGTCAGTAGTTATGAAAGTAGCGCTCACGAGCCAAAAGTGGTCCCCGAAAATTGCATAATACATCACATACTGTATGTGCACAATGTCATTTCTCTTTCTCTGCTGTGTCCACTGAGCCGTTGGTCCCGCCCTGCAACCTAATTGGATAACGCTGGGCAGGTCTCTTGAGCTGTCACTCAAATGCGAGCTCATTGGCTAGAACTCAAATTGCTAGGTGGCTGGCCCACGTGAGGTGAAATGTAGGGAAAATGGCGCAGCACAGCTTCGAGAAAAGTCGCTTTCAAACTAGGGATTTCTTGGCTAATTGAGGTAAGACAGTAATTCTGCTCATAGATTATGCATGTATGAAGTACAAATTGACACATTCAGCCCAAAGCGGGAGGAATGTCTTTAAATTAACACTTGGTTGGCTCCAGTCAATTCTCTCACACAGGATGGGTGCATAAGAAAAACTTAAATTAATTTTCTTATGAGCTCTGCCTGATTGACATTAAATACATTGAGCCATTGGTTCAATGGTTTGTACATTTGCAGTTTCCGGGTTTTCTGAAAGCAACAGCTGTAGGTATTTTGGGGGGTTAATCTCCACAAAAACCAGCCTGATCCCAGATCTGCTTGTGGGGTCTTACAACTGGCTATTGACTTAAATATTGAGTTTGTGCACAACACAAACAGATCTGGAATCAGGCAATAAAAGAGCAGAATTCTTGGTCTAATCCAGATGATGTGTCTGGTCAGTCAGTGGTCAGGTGGTCAGTCTCCTGGGAGCCTGTCCATCCTCTCCTTAGTGTGTCTCTATGTCCTGGACCCTGCGCAGGTTATCGAGCCCTGGTCCGAGTGGAAACCTAGAGTGACAAATATGTCATTCGTTCAGCCTGCACGTGTTGATCACCTGCGTTGTGTTAATTAGGGGACGTAACGGAAAACATTTTAAAACCCTTGCAATTAAATGAAAGATTCCTACTGAACACGGTAGTCCCTCTTTGTTTCAGTCCATTTTCTTCCGTTTGGTTCCTAATGAACACGATCCTGGAGCTGCCTGCTGCAACAGGACTCCACATTCCTTTTTGTATGGTTGGCAGTATGTCCATAACACAAGGTAGTGCATGCCCTCATAAAAACCATACAATAACTGCATCTTACTGCAAACATTTGTTAACGTTTCTATGTTTGGTATCATATCAATGTGATCACAGTTGTTTCAATATTTGTTTGTCTTTTCTGTTCTGTGGCACTGGGAAGCCAAAGGAAACATTCTACTTTGTGTGGACAATAAATGTTTTATTCTTCTTCTAGCAGCTAAAATAAAAGTGCATGAGCCTGGTCCCAGATCTGAGGCAAATTACGTGGCAATGGCCATAGGAGTTGGCAAGACAGCACAAACAGGTCTGGGACCAGGCAACCAGACTCCCCTCAGCAGCAGTAACAGCATCACTCACCACCATGAGTTGTCCATTCTTGTCCTTGTACACCATGGACTCCTGGCCACTGCTGAAATCCACAATGCCCTCTTTCCCCGCCTGCATCTGAAACTTGATGCTAAAAAATAACCACATATCATAGTCATATTCACCCAGGACTCCTTGGAAAACACTGGCAAGTGTTACTGAGTGGACTATCCTTGCTAAATAAATTAAATAACATTCATAAGTCTGCTCATCTGGCCACTTGATCCATCAGACTATAACTCCCAGAATCCATCCTGTCAGCCACAGCCTTACCTGCCCTGGACCACGTTGATAGCGCTCTGCTTGTTGGCGACCACGCTGAGTTTGGTCAACACTTCAAACAGGTGGTCACACTGCATGACTAGGTCCCCCTGGACACACGAGGTCAGGACACATAGGATAGCATTAGGGCTGTGTCCAAAATGGCATTATATGCCCTGTATAGTGCACTACTCTTGACCAGGGCACGTAGTGCACTATATGTAATAGGGCGCCATTTTGAATGCACATCAGATTCCATTTTGAGCATATCCTGGTTAGAATCACTTGAATAACAGAGGAACTACACAGACATTCCCAAGCTATTATACTATACGTTGTGTGAGTGTGTGGAGACCGTGTCCTCCTACCTTCTGCTTAATGTCTTCACTTGCAATATGGAAAATAATGATGCCATCACTCAAGGTACTGACCGACACACCTGCAATTGAGTAAGAAGCACTCACACAGGTCAGTACACTTTTAAACTAAATCTATTCTATATAACCAGTATTTATTCACGTTAGTCTCATTGGGGAGAATCCTAACTTCCACTTAAGTAGAATTTTCACCTAGTAATCCATTATGAAACTGTGACTTAAATGGAAGTTAGGATTTGTCTCATTGAGATCAAATCTATTTTGCAAGAGAGATCAGACAAGCTCAACCCCCATCCATCCCATCCATAGCATGCTGGAGGCTCACCTTTCAGAGTAGTGTACAGCACTCTCTGCTTGATCTTGGCATCCTCCACCACATAGGCAGCCATCTGCGTGAGGATGAGCTGCCGAGGTCGGGGTTTAAACCCATTCCTGTCATACTTCACCACTGGTACGCTGTACTGCAAAGAGCGAGAGAAGAAAGATGGTGGGAGAGAGGGAAGAGAGAGAGAGAAAGAGAGAAGAGAGATGATGGAAGAGTAAGAGAAGGAGAGAGAGAGAGGGAGGGAGCAGGAGAGAAAAATAGAGAATATATTTTTTAATGATCGAAACAATATTTTAAAATGTTTCTTTCGGAGAGTTTTAAGTGTCAAGGACACACTGCAACACACGTCTGGATTACCTTGATGCGTTCATGGCGAATCATCTGCAGGACTTTCATATTGATGTCCTGTTCACCTGAAAATACAACATAGTGCAAAAGGTGGCATTTGACCCTAAAAAACAAGTGTAAGTAAGACACCACATGTAATACACAGATACTATCTGCTACTACAGGGGTTTCCAAACTTTTTTGGCCCACGACCCCATTTTGATATCAGAACATTTCCGCGACCCCAACCATGTGAAAAAAAGTATGTAATTGACAGCCAATGTTAACTTTTTTATTTGAAAAACATTCTAACAGTTATTCTGATTGTCTATTCAACTCACCATCACATACTTTTAATGTGAGGCTATGACAGTCATTTGCAAATGAGTCTGACATATTGTCTCTTATCTCACCACCACTAATGAGATGGGTGTGGCTTGATGCATGTCGTGTCGGAGATTCTCAAAGTCAAGGGGCGTGGCCGACAGTGTGCACCTCATCTCTGCGGTCACATCCAATCTGAATCGATATTTTGTTTTAATGCAGAAGAGAGCACTGAATCCAGCTTCACACAGATATGAGCTGGCGAAGGGTAGCCTACCATGAGTTTTATGGTGGTTTCAAGACAACTGGGAACTCGAGGTCAAATCATGACGTCAGTGATCTTTAGGTCAGAAAGTCGGAGCTCTAGAAAGAGGCCCGAGGTCCCGAGTTGGAATTCCGAGTTGGATGACAGTTCAAAACGATTTTTCTCAGTCGGAGCTTGTTTCTTTCAGATTGGGAAGTAGGTCCCAAAGTGCTCTTCCAAGCGTTGGAGGTGAGCAGTCATCACTCGTGTGGGACACTTACTGATGCTGTTTTCTGTTAGAAACATGCACAGCCGAGGGAAGGGAAAATGGTTCGCTTTTGAAATACTTTTTCCAATAAGAATGATTTTCTCTGAATCCACTGATTCAGTCACTCATCTGTTGAATGTTTTTGTATTTCCCCTGCATGCTTGGGTTCGTTCAGTTTCCCAAATATAGGCAAGGAGACACATTTTATTTTCATTACAAA